CTTTATTAGCAAAGAAGTATAAAAATTTCTTGCGAACATCTTTTTTGTGTGTGGTCAGAGGATCAGCGGAAAGAGTTTTTTTACTGTTTTTATAATATCATAATTAGATTCTTTATTTATAGTATATTGTTATTTAAATAGACCAAAGTATTCTTTAGGAGCAGTTGGCTTCTTTTTTTTTTTAAAACTCTCTGTCAGGTTAGTTATATGTATTTTATTAAACATTTATAAACTATATACAGTATATTGAATAAAATGTTAAAGCTAAATTTCTAACTAATTCACTTATTTTAATTATATTACCTCTCTAAATACAACTTCAAAAGTAATTTATCACCCCATTAGAGATTTAGATAAAAACCTTTCCAACTTCTAACATTATTGTCTATAGGTTACTACTGCAGTATGAATAGTTGGCTTCTTTTTTTCTTTATTTATTATTAATATATAAATTTTTTTTTATTTATCAATACGATTTTTAAGATTTTTAAAAATTGAGTATAGAGAAGTAAATATTTTTTCAACTTCTATTATATATTTATTTTTTTTGTTAAATCTATATTTATAATAATTTATTAATTCTTTGTTATTTCTAAATACTGGATATCTTTAAAAGCCTTTTCTTTTTTCTATTTCTTTAATCAATAAAGTTTATAAGCTTATTGATTTATTCATTAACTTAGTATTTTTACTTGTTTGTGATTAACTATCATCTACTATTGAATTCAAAAGTTTCAAATTATTATATTTTATTGATCTATAAGATTTTTTCTATTTTTTTATATTAAAATATTTATATATAATATATATTACATATATTATATTGTAGGACACATAATTTATTGTTTTTTTATTTAATTAAATATAAACATAGATAAATTTAATAGAGTACAGATTATTTTAATAAAGAAATTAAAGCATATATGGATGTATATTAAATATTGATATATGTTAATATAAATTATTTAATTATTTTTATTATATGTTGTTTTATTATTTATTACAACACATTAATCTTTAGTAAATAAAATTTTTTATAAAGACTATATATTAATTTTATGAATATATTTATATTACATATTTTGTTTTTTTTTTTATTTTCTTTGGCAGACTAGGTATGTATATATATACTTTATATTAAAAAATATATTGCTAAAGCTAATTCTCTATTCAACTCATTTGTTTTTATTTTAAAAATTTATTAAAATTTTAAATATAACTTTGTGAGTAATTTATTTTTCTATTTACAGATCAAATAAAGACTTTTTCAACTATTTAATTCATTATTTACAGATTACCACTGCAAATTACTATGCAATATTCTGATATACTATATATTATATGTTTTGATGTTTATCTATGAAATAAAATAATTTTAATATTTTTCTATCTATTACTTTAAATTTTTTGATATCCTTTTTAAGTTTTACAAATTTGAGTCTTGATTAATTTATTAATTAAAATTATTATCTATAAAGTTTTTTTAATATTTAAAACATATTACTTTATATTAATCTAATTAGAAGTTAAAAAGTTGATATTGGGTTCTTTGGCTTTACTGTAATACAACTTTTGTGTTTGATTTTTCTTTCCCTTAAAAATTATGTTTATGATAATATTAATATTTTAAAGAATAATACTTATCTATTCTTGAGTATCAAATGTGAATTTGTTTAAAGATTCTTGTTAAAATTTGAGAATTGAAGAATAGTTTCTTATTAGTTTTTTTTTTCAAGAAAATTATCAAAAAAGGAAATTTTTATAAGAAAAAGTTGATTAGCAAAGAGTGTTTGTGAATTATTAATTATTAATGTAAATTACTAAAAAAGTATTTATTCAAACTATTTATATTGTTTTTATAATCAAACTTAAAGATTTAACTTAAAATAAGTTTGTTGATAAAAGATTTAATTTGATTTAAATTCTACATATACATAATGCTCAAGTATATTTTGTACAAAGTAGTTTATTTATATAATAAAATTACGATATTTATTAGTGAAATAACTCTCGAAATCCAACTAACAGATCAGATTAAAATAAAACGTGTGTTTATAAAAATCTTCATGATAGTTTGTTTAATCACCATATATAAATTATATAAATAACATTATGAGTCGATTTTTTTATTTCCATTTCCATTATACGACGTTTTACAACAAAAAAAAATTATAAAAGCCATGCAATAAATGCAAATTTCTTACAAAACATCATCCCAGGTTTCGTTTTTAGGACCTTCGTCCGAGTCGGAATCTTGATCCTCTTCGTGACTCTCTTCGCGACTCTCATCTGAGTCAGTGCTCTCATTGACATTTTCGTTTTCTTTTTTTAATTTTTTCATACATTCTTTGTTAAATAAAAGAAGTTTTTTCTTGTTTTGAGCTAGACAGCGAATTGTATTAATAAATTAATAATAACAATAAGAATATACCTTTGCATCTAGCCTTCTCGGCATTTTTTCTTTGCGTCTGTGAAATTGATAGCTCATAAATCTAAAAAATCATATTGGCGATTTGCGTCACATAAAAATATTATTACCTTGGCGAATTTGTCCAAGGGCATCGTTAAAGTGCATATCATGCAAGTCAAAGTAGTATTTTGTTGCGGAGCGCACTGTTTGCAAACAGTGTGGTGCCTTTTTGTTGTTCTACCCTTTGGGGCATAGGCTAAAGAGGAATTAACGGAATCAACTCGTTTATTCTATTAGAAATACAATTTCGACCGCGATAAAGTCTTGAAATACCAACGATTATGAATGTTAGATAATGCCTTTGTGACTTGTGTTTTGGAGAACGAATTAATGGGTTTTTCTCTATTGCAGCTATAGCAAAAGAGCGATCCCGGTTTTTGAAGACTTTGCGAGTTAGGACCTTTACCGACGGTCGACATTTTCGTGTCTCTCGGAAAAACTTGGTAAGCATAAAATACTACATTTTATGTAAATTACAAGATCGGCATGTGATGGGAATCACATGGAAAAGATTTATGTATAGGAATTCTGGCGTAGAAAGAGCTTGATGAAAGATGTCTTCAATTCTTGAAAGAACCCAAAAACTTGTCGATATTATTCAACAACAAGCCCATGTTTGTGACGTTGAAACCATACGTAAAAAATTGCTAAGAATAATCGAAGATGGCCTCACGAACCTGCATATAATTTGTGGTATGTCGTTGACCCCTAGATAACACAAATGGTTCTCAGCATTAAACGCAGATCTTGTATTTCCATTCTTTTATTCGTTCTTCTTTTTCTCTCCTAATAGATTTCGATGGAACGATAACACGTCATTTTAATTCGAAAGGCGAACGTAACCCGGCCTCTCACACACTGTTATCAAGAAGTTCTCGTTTTACACGCGAAGTTTGTAATTCTGAAAAGAAAGTCTTTGATTTTTCCTGTCAAATTAGAAAATGATACATTCTTTAATTTTCGTTTTTCGAAAAAGTATAAAATCGAGGTCCAGAAACGATTTGACCATTATTATCCTATCGAGATGAGTACGACGATGACCAAAGAAGAAAAAACACCTTACATGGTTGAATGGTGGAATCAAGCTCATGAACTTCTGGTGGGACAAAAAATCAATAAAGATGACATAAAAGGTATGGTGGCAGAAACCGAGGTAGAAATGAGGCCAGGATTGGATGCATTGATCAATAAATGCAAGGACAAAAACATTCCATTCTTAGTATTCTCGGCAGGACTTGGCGGTAAGTAATGGTTTTCCTTTTTTAGGATATACAGTATGATCATGAGCTCATAAACCGGTTTACCTTCAAAGATGTGATCGAGCAAGTTCTCATATCGAAAAACCTTTTTCATCCTGACAACATGCACATTGTTTCCAATCAAATGGGATTCAATGAAGAGACAGGAATATGCGATCACTTTAAAGAACCAATGATTCACGTATTCAACAAAAGTGAAGTCATGATCAAGGATACTCCCTATTACACCACCATCAAGAATCGTGGAAACGTCATTCTACTTGGTGACTCCATTGGTGACTTACAAATGGCCGCCGGAATTCATCATGACACTTGTTTGGCAATTGGTTTCTTAAACAGTGCAATTAGCGAAAATTTAGATACATATTCGAAAGTATTTGACATTGTGGTGTTGGGAGATGGTCCAATGGATGTTGCTAATCTAATCATAAAATCTTCTAATGGGTATGCATGATCAGACAATTTATCTTTATAATTCATTCTATAATTCCATATTACAAGATTAATAATAATTTGCGAATGGTTTGCATACGACTGGTCGATGATTAACCATCGCCAATATTTATTCAATGAATTAAAATTAAAATTTACGATACGATTTTTTTTTACTCCCAAAGATTTTATTTTTCGTGTGCTATTACAATGCTTTGTTCTAAATGCCTTCTTGATGAAGTGAAAGTGATACCGTATCGCGTTATGTCAAACGACATGAACTTCCGATATTGTATAAAAAATTAACGGCATTATGTCACAGGAGCAAACAGTATTCTCTTCCTCCACTCTTTGTTGACGTAAAGAACTCAGCGATTGAGAACAATGCCATCAAACTATTTTTTTTTTTTAAAAAAAAAAAGCAACAAACAAAACAAGAAACAAAAGATTATTCACAATGTATCTGAACTGAGCGAACAAACAAACATATATAACCCAAATCCGTACCCTCTGCTTAAACCATTTAACGGTCTCTTCTTTGGTCACGCGATGTGAAAATCCAACTTTTGCCGTGGCTCTTCTTCTCCTAGAAACTCTAGCACCGGGTCTACCCAACACGACATAAAAGTCCATTCCGTAAATACCAATGGATGGATCATACTTGATTCCTAAATCGATATGCTCCTGAATTCCGAACCCAAAGTTTCCAGTTTCCGAGAAGTTGCTCCTCTTCAATTCATATTCTTTGACTTTTAGGCCGCGTTCCAAGATTTCTTCGGCCTTTGGACCACGCACCGTCACATGTACAGCAATCTTTTCGTTACGTCGAATACCAAAAGAACGTACGGTATATCTAGCCTTGGAATAGACCGGTGTCTGACCTGTTAACTGCTCAAGCACTTTCGCAGCACGGGTCAAACGATCGCCAGACTCACCCACACAAATATTGAGAACCAATTTTTCAATATGAAGTTCTTTCATGGGATTAGCTGCCGGGGTCTTACTATCCTTGGGATTTTTTTTACTTTCTTTGGCAGACTAAGAAAGCACAACTATTAGAATTTGTAATAGTACTTTGTCCGAAAATTCATTTTGCTTCATACCATGATGGATGGATGATAAGAACTCAAAGTTGGTAAATTCCTTCGAGTATGATGTGCAAGAGGAGGAAATCAAGATTGTGTGAGGTCTGGACTATTTATAAAAAGATTCGAATTTCAAGCCACCTCAAAAATCATGTGACATACGATTTTTATTATATTAAATTCATTGATACAGTATACTGTATATTTGTTATATTTAACTTGCAACTTTTTACACAACTTGATATATAAAATTAAAAAAATATATATTATTGAAATAAAACTAACAATATTTTATTATTAATTTTTTATATTTTTTAAATAAATTGTGATAAAAATTGTAAAATTTAAAAAAATTTTGATTTTTTTTTAAAAAAAATTATTATATTATATTAAAACTTATCTTTATTGAATAATAAAAATTAAGATTCCTTAATTATATATCAAAAAAAATATTTGCAAAGGATTTTATACTTTTATATTAATAAAGTCTTATTATTTTTCTTATAACAACTTAAAAAATAATTTCAAAAATTCTTTTTATTTTCTCTTTTTTTGTTTATATATATTTTTTAAACAAAAACTTGACTTTTAATAATTAAGAAAAGTTAAGAAATACCTTTTTTATTTATAGCAAAAAAGTTTAAAAAGAAATAAAAATTAATAATAAAATATTAAAACTTATTTTTTGAAACAAGAATACTTATAGAGATTATATTTATAGATAAATATAAGTTTAAATCTTAAAAACTTTTTTACTCATGGTTTTTATTTTTTTTATAATTACTCATTTTTTAGATATTTTGAATAATTTTGCCTACTTCAATTTAATTATGAATTTTGAAGTAATATAAATATATATAATTTTTATTAATTGATATAAAACATATTAATAATAAAATATAAATAAAATTTTACTAATTACAATTAAAAATGGATCCTAAAAAAGAAAACAATAATAAAAGTCAAATATCTTTTATTAAAAAACATTAAAATTTTTAAATAATAATTATAAAAAAACAATTTAGTATAATTCATTATTGTCAAAATCTTTTATTTATAATATTTTTTAAATTTTGTTTTTATTAAAGTAAAGAGTTATAATTTTGTCTTTCAAAAAACAAAAAACAAGTAATTTATAAAATTTTATATACTAAATACTTTAAAAACTCATTATTAATTACTATATAAGAGTAATAAGTTTTTAAATAATGAAAAAGGTACTATTTATTTAAATTAAGATTTTTTATTATTATTATTTTAATTAAATAAAGTTCAAGTTCAAGATTTTTTTTTTATTTTGATTAAATAATAAAACTGAATAATTTTTAATTTATATTGAGTTCCAACTTTTTAACTATTATTAAAAATATATTTCTTCAAAAATTATTAAAAAATATTATAATCAATGGGATTTTCTATTTGCAGTTAAATACTTATATTATTATAAGATAAAAAATTTATTAAAAAATATAACTTTTTGATAATTAAATATAACTGTTAGAAGATATTCTATTAAAACAATATGGCTTGATTTTGATTTTTATTAAATTATATAAAAATCCAAAATTTATTATAAGTTATTTATTTATCATAAATAAATATAAAATTACTATCTAATAAAGTTTTTTTTTCTAAAAAAATATTAATAGAAATTTAATATTATTGTAATTATTAATATTTATTGAAATAGTTTTTTTTTTTTTTTTTACTCTCTGTCAGGCTAATTATATGTGCTTTATTAAACATTAATATACTATACATATAAAATGAATCTCTAAAGCTAAATCTCTAATTAACTCATTTGTCTTAGTTATCATCACTCTAAGTACAACTTCGGAAGTGATTTATCGCTTCATTAGTAGCTCAGGTGAAAACCCTTCCAACTACTAATTTCATTGCCTGCAGATCATTACCGCAGATCCTCCTTATGAGTTCTAACAAAAGTTAAAATCCTAATCATCTTATTTCATACTTTACTCCTTCTAGAAAGGTTTGTTTTAGACCTTCGTCTTCAAGTTTTTTTTCTTTCAATATGAACCTTTTCATAGTTGTGGTCTTGTTATTCTGATTTAATGGACTGACTGACCTTCTTATTTTATCTTTTCTATAGATTCCTTGTGTTTGTACCTTTCGTTCCAGATCTTCTTTCAAAATTGATTGCAAATTTTTTTTTGCATCTTCACTATCCACTTTTGGGCTTCTTTACCTACTCTTTTCTGGCAACATTTTAGATTTGATATTTTCAATATTTGATCACTTCATATTAGTCCCATGCAAAAATTTAGCATATTTTGGTTTATTTCTTTAGTCTCTTCTATAAGGCTGGCTATGTATTTGTCCAATTCTTCTAATTCTACTCTGTCTTTAACTAGAAGCCTTATTTCTTTCTCTTCTATCTCTTTTCTTCTCTCATGCAAAAGTTTTCGAAAGTCTTTTGAAATGCCTTCAGCTTCTTTATTCCAAATTTCTTGCCATTGGGTTTTCTATGTTGAACATTCTAGTAGGTGTTCTATTGTTTCTGCTTGCTATTTACATGTTATACACTCTACTTGTTTATATAGGTCTGGTCTTCTTATGGCCAATTTGAGAAGCATTGGTAACTCTTCATTAATTAGTTTGATAAGAAAGCTTCTTTCTTAAAAATCTTTAAAGAAGATATTCCAAGTGTGACCATTCTTCATCCTTCCTATACCAAATCCCATGTATAGTCATATTGATCTCGAATCTGTTGATTACATTTGTTCAAAATCCTATTTTGTTTGGTTCATTGATAAGCTGTAACTTTGTTATTTATATTTTTAATAAATTGTCTTATAGGATTATCCAAAGTCATTTCATGTC